TTGTAAGGACAATAAGTGTTAAACTCCTTTGGGTAAATAACAAGGAGCATGACTGCTGGATTATACAGTAAGAGTATATTTAGTTTTATAAGAAACTGCCCAACTATTTTCCAAAGTGGTTGTATCATTTTTCATTCCCAACAGCAGTGAATAGAATTCCTGTTGCTTTTCATCTTAGTCAGCATTTGAGGATGTCAGTGTTCTGGATTTTGGTCATTCTAATAGATTTATAGTAGTACCTCACTGTTTTAACTTGAATTTCCTTGGTAACATATGATGTAGAGGATTTTTTTCATATGCTTATTTGCAACCTATATATTTTGTTTTGTAAGGTGTCTGTTAAGGTATTCAGCTCACTTTTTAATTGGATTGTGTTCTTATTCTTGAGATTTGAGAGTTCTTGTATATTTTGAATAACAATCTTTTATCAGAAAAATCACATGATCATATCAATAGATGTAGAAATAGCCTTTGAAAAAAATGCTACCAATACCCACTCATGATAAAAACTCTCAGTAACTTAAGAATAGAGGGAAACTTTAGCAACAATAAGTATCTACAAAAAACCTACAACTGACATCATACTTAATAGTGGGATACTTAAAGCTTTTCTATAAAGACCGGGAAAAAAGCAAAAAATATTTGCATTAGAAAACATTTGCCTTTTGCAAATATTTTTCCCCAGTTGGTGGTTCTTTTTATTCTCTTGATAGTGTCTTTACAGAGCAGAAAGTTTTCACTTTAATGAAGTTCAACTTATCAATTCTTCCTTTCATGGATCATGCCTGTGGTGTTGCATTTACAAAGTCATTGCCAAGCCCAAGGTCATCTAGATACCATCTTTTAGAAGTTTCAGTATTGAATTTAGGTCTATCATCCATTTTGAGCTGATTTTTGTGAAGGGTATAAGGTCTGTGTCTAGATTATTATTATTATTATTTTTTTGCATGCACATGTCTGGTTGTTCCAGTACCATTTGTTGAAAGAAAATACTACTTTTACCCTATTGTATTACCTTTGCTCCTTTGTAAAAAATAAGTTGACCATATTTATATGGGTCTATTTCTGAACACTGTATTCTATTCTGTTGATCTGTCTGTATTCCTTCATCAGTATCACGCACTCTCCTGATGACTGTAGCTTTACAGTATGTCTTGAAGTCAGGTAGTGTCAGTCCTTCAACTTTGTTCTTCTGATATCTTGACAATATTGTCTTCTATCCACGGACATGGGTTATCTCTCCATTATTTAGTTTTCTTGATTTCTATCAACAGAGTTTTTTTACACATAGATTTTGTACATATTTTGTTAGATTTATACCTTGGTGTTTCATTTTCAGGGGAACGCTAATGTAAATTGTACTGTGTTTTTAATTTCAGATTTCAGTTGTTCATTGCTGGCATATAGAAAGGTGATTGATTTTTTTGTGTGTCAAATTTGTGTCCTCAAAGCCTGCTATAATCACTTATTAGTTTCAGGAGTATTTTTGTTGATTCTTTAATTTTTCTACATAGACAGTTATGTGATCTATGAACAAAGAGATTTTTTTCCTTCTCAATAGGTGTTCATTTTGTTTCCTTTTATTATCTTATTGCATTAGGTAAGACTTCCAGTACACTGTCGAAAGAGAGTGATGAGAGAGGCCATCCTTGCCTTGTTCCTGGTCTTAGTAGAAAAGCTTCAAGTTTCCCACCACTAAGTATGATGTAAGCTGTAGGTTTTTTTATAGAAATTTATTGAATCGAGAAAGATCCTTTCTATTCCTAGGTTACTGGGAGTTTTTATCATGAATGGGTATGGGTAGCATTTTTTAAAGGCTATTTCTATATCTTTTGATATGATCATGTGATTTTTCTTCTTTAGTGATGGATTTAATTAATCAATTTCTGAATGTTGAACTACTTTTGTGTACTTTGAATAAACCCACTTGGTTGTAGCATATAATTCTTTTTATACATTATTGGATTTAATTTACTAAATTTTGCTGATGATTTTTTTTATCTATTCATGAGATAAATTGGTCTGTAGTTTTCTTTTTTTTAATAATATTTTTATCTGGTTTTGATATTCAGGTAGTGCTGGTCTTGTAGAATTAGTTAGGTTATTTCTTCTGCTTCTATCTTCTTGAAGAGATTTTAGAAGATTTTTATAATTTCTTACTTAAATGTTTGGCAGAATTCACCAGTGAACCCACCTGGGCCTGATGCTTTTCTGTTTTGAAAGATCATTAATTATTAGTTTAACTTCTCTAATAGATGTAGGAGTGGTAGATGTATTTACATTGTCTATTTCTTCTTCCCAAAGTGCTAGGATTACAATTGAGTTTGGCAGGTTGTGTATTTCAAAGAATTGATCTATTTTATCTAGGTTATCAAGTTTGTGGGCATGGTGTTATTCATAGCATTCCTTTATTATCCTTTCAATGTCCATGCAAATCTGTAGTGATAGTCCCTCTTTCATTTCTGATATTAGTAATTTGTCTTCTCTTTTTTCCTGAGTTAGCCTGGCTAGAGACTTACCAATTTTATTGACCTTTTCAAAGAAGTGGCTTTTGGTTTTGTTGATTTTCTCCAATCATTGCCTGTTTTCAATTCATTGGTTTCTGGTCTAATTTATATTACTTCTTTTCTTTTGCTTGCTTTGGAGGTAATTCACTCTTCATTTTCTAGTTTCCTAAGGTGGAAGATTACGTGATTGATTTTAGATTTTTTTTCTTTTCTAGTATATGAACTTAATCTTATGCATTTACTTCTAAGTACTGCTTTCATGGAATTCCACTAATTTTGATAAGGTGTGTTTTCATTTTTATTTAGTTCAAGATACCTTATAATTCCTCTTGAGATTTCTTCTTTAACCCATGTGTTATTTAGGAGCATATTTAATATTCTGGTATTTTGGGATTTTCTAGTTATTTTCCTGTTATTGATTTCTAGTTTAATTCCATTATTGTCTGAAAGAAAACATTGTTTGGTTTCTATTCTTTTAAATTTGTTAAGATGTGTTTTATGGCCCAGAATGTGGTAAAAGTTCTATGTGGTAAAAGCTCTATGGTACCAAATGATGGAGAAATAGCCTTTGAAATAATGCTACCAATACCCATTCATGATAAAAACTCTCAGTAACCTAAGAATAGAGGTGTCTTTCTCAATTCAGTAGATATCTGCAAAAACCTTACAGCTGACATCATACTTCTATCCTGGTAAAAGTTCCAGGTAAGCCTGGGAAGAATGTGTATTCTGCTGTTGTTGAATGACATAGTCTATAGATATTCATTATATCCAGTTGATTGATGGTGCTGTTAAGTTCAGCTATATCCTTACTGATTTTCTGCCTGCTGAATTTTTCCACTTTTGTTAGAGAGGGCTGTTGACATCTCCAACTATAATAATTGATTCATCTATTTTTCCTTGTAGTTCTACCAGTTTTTCCCTCATGTATTTTGGCACTCTGTTGTTAGGTGCATATATATTAAGCATTGTTATGTCTACTTGGAAAATTGACCCCTTTGTCATTATGTAATGTCCCTCTTTATTCTGAATAACTTTCCTTGGACTGAAATCTTCTCTGAAATTAACATTGCTATTCCCACTTTTATTTCATTAGTATTAGCTTGGCATATCTTTCTCCATCCATTTACTTTTAATCTATTTGTGCCTTTATGTTTAAAGTGAGTCCTTTTTTTTTTTTTTTTTTTTTTTTTTTTTTTTTNGAGACAAACTCTTGCTGTCACTCAGGCTGGAGTACAGTGGCATGATCTCAACTTGCTGCAAGCTCTGCTTCCCAGGTTCAAGCAATTCTTTTGCCTCAGCCTCCTGAGTAGCTGGGATTACAGGCATACACTGCCATGCCTGGGTATTTTTTTGTATTTTTGGTAGAGACGGGGTTTCACCATGTTGATTGGGCTGGTCCCGAACTCCTGACCTCAGGTGATCCATCTGCCTTGGCCTCCCAAAGTGCTGGAATTAGAGTCATGAGCCACTGCACCCAAAGTGCTTTTCTTATAGACAACATATAGTTGATCTTGTTTCTTAATCCATTCTGACAATGTTCTTTTTTTTTTTTTTTTAATTCTCTAGACTGCTCAGCAGAATAATCTCTGTCTTTTAGTTGGTGTATTTAGACTATTGGCATTCAAAGTCATTATTTATATAATTAGATTAAATTGAATTAATGTCTACTATATTTGTTACTGTTTTCTCTTTGTTGGCTTTGTTCTTTGTTTCTATTTTTGTCTTCCTTTTTCTTCTTCCTGTGGTTTTCAGTTGAGCATTTTATATGATTCCATTTTCTCTCCTCTATTAGTATCTCAGTTATATTTTTGTGTGTTTGTGAGGTTCCTCTAGAGTTTGCAATATACATTTACAACTAATGCAGGTCCACTTTTAAATAGCACCCTATATTGCTTCACAAGTAGTGTCAATGCCTTATAAAAACAAAGCACAGGTAATCCTAATTTCTTCCTTTTTTTCCTTGTATCATTGCTGTCAATCATTTCACTTAGATCTAAGCATAGATAAGCATATTATAAAAACATATGTAATCACGTACATTATTATTTTGAAAAAATGGTTATCTGTCAGATCAATTAAGGATAAGAAAAATAAAATATTTTATTTTACCTTAACTTATCCTTACTATGATGCCTTTCCTTCCTTATGTAGTTTCTTTTTAAATTTTCCCGCTCTGTAAACACTTTTAATGTTTATTGCAAGATAGATCTACTGGCAACAAAATTTCTCAATTTTTCTTGGTCTCAGAAAGTCTTTATTTTTCCTTCACATGTGACAGATAATTTCACAGGGTATGGAATTCTTGGTTGGTGTTTTCTTTTATTTTTCTCAGCACTTAGGGTTTTTCACTTTACTTTCTATTAAGGTGTGTGGTTTCTGAGAATAAGTGGGATGTAATTCTTATCTTGCTTCTCCACAGATAAGGCATTTTTTTCCTCCAACTTTCTTTCAGGCTTTTGTTCCCTCTATCTTTGATTTTCTATATTTTGAAATTGATATACCTAGGTACAGTTTTTTTGGGGAATTTATGTTGCTTGGTTTCCTCTGAGCTTCCTAGATCTATGGTTTGGTGTCTGACATTACTTTGGGAAAATTCTCAGTCATTATTTTTTAAAATATAGTCATCCTTCTGTATCTGTGGGTTTTGCATTTGTAGACTCAATTAACTGTAAATAAAAATATTTGGAAAAAAAATGAATGGTTGCATTTAAATTATACAGACATTTAAAACTTCTTGTTACTCTCTAAACTGTTTTAATGACTATTTGTTGTTTTAGTTTAATGACTATTTACATTGCATTAGACATTACAAGTAATTTAGAGATGATTGAAAGTATATGGAAAGATATGCATACGTTATATGCAAATACTACACCACTTTATATAAGGACTTGAGCATCTGTAGATTTTGGTATCTGTGGAGTTCCTAGAACAAGTCTCCCGCAGATACTAAAGGCTGATTGTTTTTCTTCCAGTCTTTTCTTCTCTTTCTGAAATTTTCATTGTGTGTATGTTATACTCTTTTGTAGTTCTAACAGTTCTTGGATATTCTGTTGTATTTTTCAGTCTTTTTTGTCTTTGTTTTTCAGTTTCAATGGCTTTTCCGTTTGATGATATATTCCCAAGTTCTGATATTTTACCTCAGCTGAGTCTAGTTTAACAGTAAATCTATCAAAGTCATTCCCCATTTCTATTACAGTATAGTGTTTTTAATTCCTAGCATTTTTTACTGCTTCTTAGAACAAAACTTCCAACTCTCTACTTTCATTACTTATCTGTTATGTGTTGTCTACTTTATCCATTGAGACCTTAGCATCTTAATCATAGTTGTTTTAAATTCCTGGTCTAATAATTTTAACTTCTGTGCTATATCTGATTCTGGTTCTGGTACTTGCATGGATACAAATGATTTTGAATATAATATGTACATTTCTCAAAGTTCTATAAAAAATTCTTTGCTTCATCATCAATAGTAATAGAAGTAGAATGGCTCACTTATGTGACTCTTGGTTTCCTTCAGTATTAACAGAATAAAATTGTCCTACTTGAAATTACTTTATGTAAACTTAGAAAAGAAAGCATATTGTTCTTGAAAAATTATGCAAAATAACTGTGTTTTAGGATTTTGGTTTTTAATTATACACAAAAGACAATACAAACTTTTTTTTGGCTGGGCATGGTGGCTCACACCTGTAATCTCAGCGTTTTGGGTGGCTGAGATGGGTAGATTGCTTGAGCCCAGGAGCTCAAGACCAGCCTGGGCAACATGACAAAACCCTGTCTCTACAAAAAATACAAAAATTAGCCATGCGTGATGGTGCATGCCTGTGGTGCCAGCTACTGGGGAGGCTGAAGCAATAGGATTGCTTGAGCCCAGGAGGTTGAGGCTGCAGTGAGCCATGATCAGGCCGCTGCACTTCAGACTAGGTGACAGAGTGAAAAAAACATTTGTATTAAGTTAATATTTTCTCTTTTATTCTCTTAGTAATTTGCTTTGTAAAATTTGGGTTTTTAAATTGTTATATAACATGCATATTTTGAGGGTACATGTGGTAATTTAATACATTTATATATTTTGTAAAGATAAAGTCAGTATAGTTGGGATATCCATCACCTTAAACATTTGTCTTTATGTTAGAAACATTGGAATTAATCATAATTTATCTGTTGATCTTCTTTCTCTCCCCTACCCCCCACTAGGTTGCTGCCTCCTTTTTGGCACTAGATGACATGTTAAGCTCAGGTTTGCTTCAGTTCTAGTAAACAATCAAAGTGCCATCTGTTCCAAACGGGAGTTTTTCAAAAGGGGATTTCCCAATAGTGTGGGAAGGCTGGCTAGGGGCTTGTGCCCAGGGGACTTGTGGAATGAGCCTCCTACAGTGTGGTGCTGCTGAACAGCTACTCCGATTTGTCATCTCCTTTGCCTGAGTTGCAGAACAGCATTTCCAGGGCTGGGGAGGTAGTCTCACTTCTCCCTTTTGTCTCGGGCTATCTTCAGGAATATTTTTCCCCTTAGGCACTGCTGATGTTTATTGTGGGTTGAGGCAGGGTCTCCTGCCAGGGAACCCAAGATGATGGGAAAGTTGGTTGTTTACCTTGATCTCACTTTCTCTAGTGTAGAAACTATGATTTGGAGGAAAAAATTTCTGTATGCTTGGTGCTGAGCCCATTGAGGGGAGGAATATCATGGATATTGAAGTCTGATTCTTTTATTGCCTGCTTAGAGTATTTTTACATCTGTTTGGTCCCAGTAATTTTCTCATTCTTGTATTTGTATTCTGGGATAATATTGGTGATAATCTCAGCACTGTGTATGTATGTATGTATATATGTATGTATGTATGTATGTATGTATTTTGTTGGGGAGAGTGAAGCCAACTTGTTTCTACGCCACCATTTTGTTTTAAATTTTTAAGAAAGTGTTTAGTGAATTTAGTCTCTTACAGTTACTCTAATACAACATTTAAAACAGTAGTCAAAGCAGCAATTACATCAACTTGTTCCAGGTGTCATTATTTACCCAAATAGTACTTTGGTAAATCATAAAATGAATGTACACAGGAGCAAGTAGGTAGATATCAAATCAATTTGGGACACACGAGGCTGCTAACTTTTGTACTGGAATCCAATAGCAGATGAGTCATTCTTGGGGTGGAGGGACTCCACGATTTCATAGAAAACTAAGTATGACCACCAAGGGACCATTTCAACTATCTATCAATCATTGGAAGAGTCACTTGGGCTCATCTCAGATGCCAAAAGTAACAGATAGGCCATCACAATTTGGTTTGTTCACCTGTAAATACATGACTTTATTTCTGCTTAGTCATTCATGTGAGCAAGTCTAATAAATACAATAAAATATAGCCCGACCAAAATCTCATGTCATGTTTTACAGACATGGCTATATGAAAACCATGAAGGTGCTAATGAAAAATAGAAGCATTTTCTTGTTAACATAGAACCATAGAACTAAATCTGTATCCATTTTTAGAAAGGAAACTAAATTTCATGTCTGAAGAATTAGCATAGGCCTACTTATTCTCTGCAAAGATCCTAAAAAAAAATCAAATTTTACTTAATAAAATAGTTTTTGTCTTTTAGATTATATGCCAATAATTCTTTGAAGTAATTATTTTTAAAATGTTGGAACATGGGAAAAGTTCACATTATAGACTACAAATAATCGAAACTGATACCTCCAAAAATGGTTTTTTCCCCCCAGAAATATGCACAAGACTTTAAATCACTTAAGAAATATGAAGATCTGTAACAAATGAACAGTTGATGGAGGGCAGGATAACATTTACTTCTGATATATAAGGAGCTTAAGAACTTATACTTGTGGAAAATCACAATGGTTTTTCAGAATATTTCACCAAATAGATGGTGGCAAATAGTTTGGCAACACTACACATAAAGGTAAACATAGACACAATCGACGTGTTTTATTATATTACATAATTTACACTATACCTATACCCACATAGAAATTCACAATTATAAATAGTGAATTTTTATAATTTTATAATTAATAGAACTATTTATAATTCACTATATAGTGAATATAATTTAGTGAATTACATAGTAAAATTATATATAAAATATAAATATAATGAAATATATTTCACTATATAGTAAAATATAATATAAATTCACTATAGAGTAAATATAATTTTACTATGTAATTCACTAAATTATATTCACTATAGAGTAAATTATAAATAGTTCTATTAATTATAATAGTTCCATTATAACAATATTATAATATTCTATAAAAACTAAAAACCACTTAGAACAGTAAAAAACTACTTAAAACAGCCTTTTTACAACTACTATTTGCATAATTTCCAGTAAAGACTAAAAAGCTTTATTAGTCTGTTCTCACACTGCTATAAAGAACTACCTGAGACTGGGTAACTTATAAAGAAAGGAGATTTAATTGACTCACAGTTCCACAGGCTATACAGAAGGCATGGCTGGAGGAGCCTCAGGAAACTTAAAATCATGGCGGAAGGCGAGGGGGAATCCAGCACACCTTACATGGTGGGGGAAGGAGGAAGGGAGAGAGAAGGGGGAAGTGCTACACACTTTCAAACAACCAGATCTTGTGAGAACTCACTCACTATCATGAGAACAACAAGGGAAAAATCTGCTCCCATGATCCAATCACCTCCCACCAGGTCCCTCCCCCAACATTAGGGATTACAATTCAACATGAGACTTGGGTGGGGATACAGAGCCAAACTATATCAGAAGCCTAATACATGCATGCATATCTTTTATGGATTATAGTAATCTACATTTAAAATTATATTTTATTATTATGGCCTAAAAAACATAAACACCAGTACAGTATGTTTTATGCTTAGTCAAATCTAACTAGCTTAGGGTTTTAAAAACTTTTCCAGGTAAAGTAGTCAAGTCTCCAGATCACCATCCTACAGATTCGTATTTATCAAACCTAGCAATCTCAGTAAGCTGTGATTGCACTACTTTACTCCAGCCTGGGCAGCAGTCTAAAAAACAAAACAAAACAAAAGCCAAACAAAAAAACCTCACACTGGCTATCTACCTCAATCCATCAATGACCCTCAGGCCTTTGAACGTGGCAACATCACTCCCAACCTTAGTTTTTACTATAGTAAAACTATAGTTTTACTATAGTAATGTGAAGCATTTAAAACAAAAATGAAACCTGCATCTTTAGAATGTCATTTTTGTGCTTTAGAGTTTTCCTTTGCCTGTTGGTTCCTAAATATAGATTCAGCATTTCAGTTCCAAGAACTGACTTAGAAAAATATAGAATGTTTAAATGTTTGTTTTAGATATATTCTTTCTCATAAGTCTTAAAAAAGGAGCAAAAAGAGACAAACCTCAAGCTGTGTCTATAGTAATATCAGTCAATATTATTTTTATTTTTATTTTTTTTTGAGAGAGAGTCTCTCTCTGTTGCCCAGGCTGGAGTGCAGGGGCGTGATCTCAGCTCACTGCAACCTCTCCCTCCTGGGTTCAAGTGATACTCCTGCCTCATCCTCCTGAGTAGCTGGGATTACAGGTGTGCGCTAGCACTATTTTTATTTTTAGTAGAGATGGTTTTTTTTTTTTTTTTGAGACAAAGTCTCACTCTGTCACCCAGGCTGGAGTGCAGTAGCACAATCTTGGCTCACTGCCACCTCCGCTTCCCAGGTTCAGGCAATTCTCCTGCCTCAGCCTCCTGAGTAGCTGAGACTACAGGCGTGTGCCACCACGCCCAGCTAATTTTTGTATTTTTAGTAGAGACGAGGTTTCACCATGCTGGTCAGGCTGGTCTCGAACTCCTGACCTCGTGATCCACACGTCTTGGCTTCCCAAAGTGCTGGGATTACAGGAAGAGATGGGTTTTTACCATGTTGCCCAGGCTAGTCTCAAAGGCTGACCTCAAGTGATCTGCCTGCCTTGGCCTCTCAAAGTGCTGGGATTACAGGTTTGAGCCATGACACCCAGCCAATATGGTATTATTTTTACTAACAAATTATCCAACTTGCTTACTATATACAAAAAGTGTATGCATGCAAAATACATACTACATACAAAACACAAAACATAGAGTTAGAGACAACAAATGAAAACTTTATGCAAAATACTTGATTCCATTAGTATTTATATTGTTTTGGCTGGAAGATTCTTACTCTGTGCATTCCTTTCTGGTGTTAAGGAATGGTTACATCTATGTAGCATTCTTAACTATAAAAAACAGGAATAAAAACTGGATGCGGCGGCTCCCTGCACTTTGGAGGCCAAAGCAGGTGGATCAGTTGAGTTCAGGGGTTCAAGAGAAGCCTGGCGAACATGGTGAAACCCCTGTCTCTAGTAAAAATACAAAAATTAGCCAGGCGTGGTGGCAGGTGCACCTGTAATACCAGCTACTCAGGAGGCTGAGGCAGGAGAATCGCTAGAACCCTGGATGTGAAGGTTGCAGTCAGTTGAGGTGGCACCATCACACTCCAGCCTGGGTGACAGAACAGGACTCCATCTCAAAAAAATAAATAAATAAATAAATAAATACATAAAAAGGAATGAATGGGAGGGGGGCTAGTAACACAGCTAAAACACACAGGTGTGCTGTTTATAAATATGTATATAATTTAGCAGTGTCATTATCTGGGTTAATTTCTTTTGTTTGTTTACATTTACCAGTAAGTGGTCCAGAATGCAAAATATGGTAACAGAGAACTCAATTTTATACTTACTCCTTGGTACAGTTATGAAAAATAAAAACTTGCATCCTAGGAATAGGGAGATAGATAAAAAAGTTTTTTTAACTTGGAGATAAGACATTGAATAGCTGTCAAAATTCAAATTGACTAGTTTTGAAGAACTTGAAAAGTGTGTTCAAATGAATAAAAAACAAAAACGATCAAAAGGAACCCATAGTTGCCTAAGAGTCTTAAAAATTAGAAATTTAACTCTCTCATCAATATATCACCATTTTGGAACCAGAACTGGTTTATTTAATGCACCTGTACTTCTGGACTGTGAACTTCACATTTTTCTCAGCTCTTCCCACCACTTATGTGGGACATGATGGCTGGAGTGGACTAGAGTTGGGTACTTCCCTTCCTACACATGGAAGGCATGAGCTGGCTGGAGTTGGATATTTCTCATCCTTCAGGTCTGTTAAGTTTTGTTAAATAGTTTCTCCTGAGGGGTGGACCTTATTAAGAACTGAGTGCTCTGGCATCTTTAAAAATGGTTCCTTTTCCCTTCTTCCTGCAGGAATTATGAGATTTCCCCCCCAATATTCACATGAGAAACTAGTCATCCTCCTGGAGGCAAAATTCACAAAAGTGAGGAGGCTGTGATAATGAAATCTCCCCCAGTTTTTAATCTCTGAGGCTTGTTGGCTCTGGGCCTCCAATTATTCATTAGTGACGTTCAGGTTTCCCTCCCTTGGTGCTGCTTCCTGCAAAGGTTTGTGCTTATGGGTTTCTGCTCTGGCAGGTCATAGTTCTCTGCTTTTGCCTGCTGGTCTTTCCAGTTTGGGGCAGTGGTTTGCTGACCCCACCTCTCGGATGGGTCTAAGAAAAGCTGTTGATTTTTCAGTTTAAGGTGTTTTTACTTGTTAGGATGGAATGGCAACTTCCAGCTAGATTGAAAACCACGTCTTCTGATAATTCATTTATTAAATTCATAGACTTGGACTACTACTTCCTTTATCATAATCTATGTAGAATAGTTTTTAGTGATCTTCAAAGATATCATATGTGGAATCAGTTGCAAGTTTATATTCTGCACATGTATGCAGAATATTTGACCATCTTTCAATTTTCACTCTTCCTCTTTCTCATAATATCCACACTGTCCAGTCTCCCTATGTAGTGTCCCTTGCATTTATGCTTTCCTTTCATATTCATTTCCTTGGCTTTACTCTGACTCCTGTCTCTTACAGAAGAAAGTCCAAACTTCTCAACCCAGCATTCAAGGCACTTTGGATTGGCCCCTGTGGCAGTGATTAAGCTGTTGTCTCTGTTAGACCTTCACTCTATGTACCTGTGAGGCTGGGCTGCTACTCTGTAGGATGCATTTCTCCTTTGTCAGTGCAATCCCTGTTAGCTCTGTCACTGGGGGCACTAGAGGGAGACTGCAGACCTGGAGGGGGAGAAGGGACTTGCTGCTTCCTCTTTTGCTTTCTTTCTGCTTCTGAGTGTAGCTCCAGCCTCATTTCTTCACCCTGGCAGATGCAGCGTCTTCCTGTAGCAGCAACTGAATCCAGTTTGCCAATTTTATCAAATTTGCAGAACCAGCCTGATGGAACCTTCTTAGAGACAATAGCCCCTCTTGGGTTCCATGTATATGGGCTATTACATTTAAAAAAATTTTAAGAATCCCTCTTCCCCTTTTCTTCCAGCCCTAGGAATGATAGCTGTTTCCTACAGTTGCTACTTCCATGATACCTTAGAATTTTCTTTTTGCCTGCTCAAGTACTTAGTTAATAACATTATATTTATTAATAGTTAACAATTCATTATATTAATTTTCTCTGTTGAATAATTGGTGTGCTTTCTGTCTCTTGATTAGGGCCTCACTGACACAGGCACCAGATCACTGCTACAACTGTAAATGATTTCCCAAACCAGATACTCTGCTTCAGTGACAAGTCTCTTCTTTTCACATGCCTCTAAGAGAGCATTTCCCCTTCCCAACTTTGAAAAACTTGCTTATATCCCCCCTGACCAGCAAAAGCTATACAACTTCTGCCAATCTGAACCCTGTCTTCTAAAGCTCAGGTAAAACCCCCAGTCTTTTTGTTTTCTTTGTTATTTTACTTAAAGTTCCGAGATACATATGCAGAATGTGCAGGTTTGTTACATAGGTACACATGTGCCATGGTGGTTTGCTGCACCTGTGAACCTGTCATCTATATTTTAAGCCCTGCATGTGTTAGGTATTTGTCCTAATGCTCTCCCTCCCCTTGTCCCAACCCCCCCAACAGGGCCCGGTGTGTGATGTTCCCCTCCCTGTGTCCACATGTTCTAATTGTTCAACTTCCACTTATGAGTGAGAACATGTGGTGTTTGGTTTTCTGTTCCTGTGGTAGTTTGCTGAGAATGATGCCTTCCAGCTTGACTCACACTCCTGCAAAGGACATGATCTCATTCTTTTTTATGGCTGCATAGTATTCCATGAATTATTATGGAATACTATAATATGGAATACTA